CAAGCACAAAACCATGGTAGATACTACCAGAAGTCACGTATGCAGGAAATAGGAACTCTATAAAGGGGGGTTGCATCCACTATTGGCGTGGACCGTTGACGGAGCACTGACTCCCCGGCCACCCAGCGCTGTTTTGCCTGCTTCATCGCTTGCTTAAATAAATTCTATTGTTAATAAATTCACAATTGATTAATTAATAATTGGCTCCTCAATTTGAATTCGTCACGGGAGGCGAGCTTCTATAACAACGGTAAAGAATTTCTTCCTTGTATCTAATCTAAATCTTTCAGTTTAGAGCCGTTACCCCTTGCCCTATCACTACATGCCCTTGTGAAAAGTCCCTCTCCAGCTTTCTTGTAGGCCCCTTCAGGTACTGGCAGGCTGCTGTAATGTCTCCCCGCAGCTTTCTCTTCTGAACAGCCCCAACTCTCTCAGCCTTTCCTCACAGGAGAGGTGCTCCAGCCCTCTGACCATTTTCGTGGCCTCCTCTGGACCCGCTCCAACAGGTCCATGTCTTTGCTGTGCTGAGGGCTCCAGAGCTGGATGCAGGACTCCAGGTGGGGTCTCACCAGAGCGGAGCAGAGGGGCAGAATCCCATTCCTCGACCTGCTGGCCACGCTGCTTTTGATGCAGCCCAGGATATGGTTGGCCTTCTGGGCTGCAAGCACGCACTGCTCGGTTGTGTAACCAGCACCCCCAAGTCCTTCTCCTCCGGGCTGCTCTCAATCCATTCTCTGCCCAGCCTGTATTTGTGTTTGGGATTGCCCCGACCCATGTGCAGGACCCTGCACTTGGCCTTGTTGAACTTCATAAGGTTTGCACAGGCTCACCTCTCAAGCCTGTCAGGGTCCCTCTGGATGGCCTCTTCTTGCATCAGAAAAACTTAGGCCTATGATCGTTTCAAAGGAGTCTCCAGAAATTCCTATGGAAAATCAGTGATAGCTGTAAATAGTCTATTTAAAAAAAAAAAAAGCTGTCAATTCACAGACTCGCTGGGAACCACAAATAGATGGTCAGTGATTCCTGAGAAAAAAAACACCTCTTAATTTGGGTATGTATGTCCTTGGAAAACTCTTGCCTAATCATCTAGTCTTTTGTTAACTTATGATAGCCTCAGGAGAAGTCACTGCAGTTAAGAAGTCACTGGTATCTCTTCAGGAGAGGAGGCTGCAAAAACCTCTGCAATGAAGCTTTTAAAAGTTAACCCGGTAACTCAAAGTTCATGATGAAGCTGTGCAATTTATTTTCACGAACTAGATTTGGTCCAACATTTTTCTGAACTACTTAGATGTGGTAATTTGTGATTTCAGGGTAGGAAAGGAGATTTATTGCACCAGACTACTGATGGTCCAAAACTAAGTAATCAATGAGAAATAATTGTGTGTTATGAGCCTAGTGGCAGTGATACAAAACCATGAGGGACAGAGTTTGTTCAGACTTGATTATGTGAATACGTGCGTGTGTGCCTGCGTGTGTGAGTGCTTTCTTGTCTTGGTTTGTTTACCTCCCTATCTAAGTACATGGTTTATAAGATCTCGTCATAGATGTCATGAAACAGGCCATGAAAGTGATTATTTTTTAAAACATCTGGAAGTAATTATATGTCTTTCTTCTGAGACTTTGTGTCTTTCTTCTTTGTGCAGACCATGAGAGGAGGAGAGCTGCCTGGGCTTTTGGTAAATGAAATTGGTAGACCTCATGACCAAGAAGGAATTTCTTGAAAATGGAAAGCATATGAGTAAAAAGGTCCAAGTGATCTGTTTGTGGTGGCACAAACTAGTCATTGGCCAAGAGCTCCTCCAGAACCTGCCAAATTGGAAAGTGATTGTGAATTCAGGAGTAGGAATGGATCACCTGGGTCTGAAACTTGTCACTATCTTCGACATGAAGATGCCTAATGCTCCATGTGCTGTTTCCAGCAGCACAGCAGATGCTGGGATGGCTTTGCTGCTGGCATCTGTGAGAAGACTAGTGGAAGGTAACATCTCAATTCTTTTGTGGTTTCCAAACATCATATAGGATTTACTTACCATTAACTTGACTTTTCCTAGAGTTATCTGTAGTGCAGAGTTTCAGGTAAAATGTGAAAATCTAAACATGTTGGGTTGGCAAATGGAATACTTGGTATTTTCATATATTTTGTATGATGTCATAAATATGTCTAAATTATTACATTATACACAAACACATGTAACATATTTCAACCAGGTATAAATAAAATCATGTGAGTTTAGTTTTCACAGGTCACCAGCCTGGGTTGAAAATACTTGAGCAGAATCTAATCACATTTGATTCAAATACAACTTTTTGCTTTATGGACCAAGCAGTCTTAGAAGCTGGAATTTAGTTTTTAGAACAAATATGGCTGTAGACTTAACAGTTTCAGATGAAAAGCACAGTGAAGATTGCTGCCTACATATGAAAACTTCTTCAGCAGAGCATTTTGAGTGACTGTGACATCTGGCTGACACAAGATGTATTATGGTTCTATTAACCAAAGGTGGGGGATGCCAAAGATCAGGCGATCGCTGCAATCACAGGCTGGCAGAAGAAATCGGAGCGTGGGATGCAGCAATGGAGCAGAATAAGGGTATGTGCTGAAAGCTGGGACTGACAGAGGCATGGGCATATTCCCGGGAACTGAAATGGGTTGGTGCAGAACTGGGGAATTTAGGGGGCATCTGCTCCAGTTTCTGCTAGTAGCATCTTTTCTAGCTTCTTCCACAATTTTTTCTTGCCTTTTCCCCAGACAGACCTACCCTTGGGTTGGTTAGAATGCCTCCTGCTTCAGGAAAAGATCCTCCAGATTTATCCTGTTAAATTTACCTGCCTTTGATTTGCTATCTGTACCACAGGATTCATAGAAACTGAAAGGAGATTTGTCTCCCTCTACATCTGTTTCTACCTCCCAAGGAGGAGACAGATTAAAAGGGAGATGAATTTCTTGCTTCCAGCTACATAAACTATCCTTGGGGACATTTCTGATAGCTCTGCCATGGCATGATTGAGTTTTATCCTGAGGCATTTTTTGATACATTCACAACATTTTGCTTATATTTTAGGAGAGCTGGCAGTATCAGAAGATTGAAATATCAGGAGCCTGTCACCTTGCTAGCAGACAAATAAGTGCTGTCTCTGTGCATAGAAGCATATTTTCTGTGTTGTAGAACTATACAGAATTTTGCAGGTTTAAGAGATAATCAGGGGAATTACCAAGTAGTGATTTTTAAAGAACTCACACTTTTCTTTCCAAGAAGAATGGCAGAGGTGAACAGGAAACCTGTTCTTATTCTAAATAGCAAACCCAACATCTGGTGTTATTCTCCATGTGATGTTTCCAAACTGCAGTGTTACTGGCAACAAGTATTTTGAGTGTTGATGCAGAACAGGGCCATATTTTTAGGAATCTAAAGCAGTAAAAGGATTTTTAGGGGAGATTACATCAAAAGGCTTTTTGTAGTGTGGTGAGAATAAATGGGAATGTCACATACACGTAGCAGGGAAAGGTGATGTATTAGGGAGTCACCTAGGACATTACAAAAATCGTTGCTGCTGAAAGTTGTGTGTTTGTAACTGTTAAAAGTGTGCTGTAGTAGCACAGCAAGCCCAAATTCTTTTGCCTGGTTCCTCTGTGTTGGACCCCATTCATTTCTCATGTTGGAATGTTTTTCTTGCAGGCTATCCTGTAGCAATTTCTGCAGGTATGGAGCACAGTAAAGCAGATTTTCTGGGAGTTGATGTTACTGAAGCTACTCTGGGGATCATTGGCATGGGCAGCATTGGGTATATGATTCCTCTGAGACCCAAAGCGTTTGAAATGGACATTTTGTACCACAACAGAACAAGGAGGTAAAGATATATATCTTGACCCTAATTACAGCCAAAACTCCCCTTTTAGATAGGCAGTATTTCCTTTTCAGGGAATTATGTCAGGAATATAGCAAGAAATGAGGGAATAGGGCCAAGATTAAAGCAAAAGAAAAAAAAGAGTGGTTGCTTCAAATCAGTCTTGTAAAGAAATACTTGGTGATTAAACAGTTGGAAACTTAATTTAGGTTTTCTATTAGAAATGCCAAGGTTTCCTGGAGGTGTGAACAGAAAAAGGAAAATTAACTTTATACCTTTTTTATTCTTAGCATATCTTACTATAGTGACACATAACTCTACCTTTTGTTTATTTTTTCCCCATATATTGAAGTGTGGGAGTGATCATGTTGAAACTCAGAGGTACTAGAGAACTAGGAAACATATACTTGGCACAGTATGAAAACTGATTAACTTGAGAGCTGTTCTTGAGAAAACCTTGTTTTGCCTCAAACTAGTAGGAATTTTGCCAAGTATTTAACTGGATTTCACCCTTTATTTCTAGCCCTTCCTAACTTGTGTATCTGGAAATCTGATCCTTGTTAGAGATTCAGCACAGGGGCTCTTCAGTGTGAAGGTGAGCAAGATCCCAACGTACAACTTGAGGCCGTGGCAATCTGGCAAGGTGCAGCCAACAAGCAGAACAAATGCTTACTGCTATAAACCATGATCTGCCATGAGACAACTTTACTTCCCCCTGACTGAAGGAAGACACTGCAGTGCTAGTACATGTGGCTTTCAGTGATTTTCTCCATATGCACCCTGCAGTAGGAGGGTTACTGCTCTAGCCAGCCCTAACCAAATCCTCCTTAAGATCTTTTGGAATTTCTTCATAAACCACAAAAAAGAGAAGATAAGGCACAGCCCCCTTTTTTTTTTCCTGCGGATCATCACTAACTCCCTCTGTTTAATATTTACTTTATATAAAATTTACTTTGAAGTAAAATTTATGTGAGAGTGCTGTGGTGAATAATCAATGCACAGTGCAACAGAAGTGAAAGAGTTGCTTATTTTAAAGTACATTTACACTTCAAGCTTATGTGCTGAAGCCAGATGCACTCTGCATGCTGTAAAACTGGCTGTAGTTCCAGTCTGTTCTTCACCCACTTAATCTCTGGTCATTGACCTGGACCCTGAAAGAAAACAATGAAACGCGTGCGTTAGGAGACACGTGGTCCAAAGTTACACTGAAGTTATTTTCTTAGTGTGACTTGTTGCTTTATTTCTAGGTTAGGCAGGAGATAATTCAAAGCCATTCTCCTGCCATCAGGAGCAGAAGATTGTACACACAATCTCCTGTCATTGCTTCTTTGGTTCCCAAAGTTCAGGCAACTAAATTTACAAAGAACAGGAGAAGCGGCAAGTATTCTTTTTTGTTGTGAAAAGTTCAAACTAAAAATATCTTTCTACTTTGGTAATTTTCTGCATTGAACACTTCATTTTTTTAAAGTCCTGGGGCAGCCAGGAGCCTGCCAAAGAGCTGCCTTGCTGATTCCACTCGTCAGAAAATGACAGGCTCACTATGTTGTCCCAACAACTGGAGGATGCCAACAGGATGAGGACCAACGGCATGCTCAGAGCTCACGTGGATGAGTTCTGGAGAAGACCACTACTCTGGTTTGAGCAATTACTGCGTCCTGTGAGATGCACCTTCCCCACAGGGGATCCTGGAGAATGGATCACATGCTGCCCTCTGTTCCAGTGCTTAGCCTTAGTCCGCTTGTAGACTTTAAAAGAAGTCCCTGGACACTGCACTGCAGCGGCTGAGAGACAGGCATGCGATCCGTCCCCTGCTGTAGGACTTGAAGCCATCCAGAAGAGCCTAAACAGCCAGCTGAGACTAAATTCACCTTTGCTGGCCACCTGTTTGCTACATGAATGCAATAATTAGATCCTTTAGTTTGCATACCAGTGATATCATCAAAGAAAATATTTTCTTGACTGATGCCCTGAAATACAGTGTGATCCTTTTCTTCCCCACCAGGAAAGAGCAGGAGGAGCAAGCTGTCGGTGCCACTTACTGTGCAAAGATAGACAGCTTGCTCCAGCAGGCAGATTTTGTGATGGTGGTGGTGAGCCTGACACCTCAGACACGCAAGCTGGTTGGGAAGAGAGAGGTGAAGCTGATGAAACCCACAGCTACTCTCGTGAACATCAGCCGAGGTACCATCCAGCACCGTTGACCAGCCTGACGAGACGGTGTGAGCCAGCCTCTGCTGTGTTACACGCCGCACCATGCCACATCCAGCGCACAGCTGGTGCCTGCACCAAGGACACATCAGGCATGGCGAAAATTCCTCTCTCGCCCCTTCTGCTCTCTTTTCACCCTCAGACCATTATCTGCAAGTGGCACTCAGAGACACTCTGGTTCCAAACCAGGTGCAGTAGTGGACCAAGGGATCGCCGGTGACAGCTCTGCAGAGTGGCGTTACCGGGGCCACAGCTCTAGATGTCACCTGCCCGGAACCCCTGCCCAGGCTGCCATCGCTGCTCTCTCTGAGAAGGGCTGGGTGTAAAACTGGGGGTTTGTGCAAAAGTGCCATGAATACGAATGGTGTGCAGCCCAAATGTTGGGTCTGATAACAGGCTGATGGGAAGCCTGGGCGCCAGGGAACAGCAGGAGGTGGCTTTATATGCCGAGGGGAGCATTAAGCCCCCCCCACAGAATCACCATATGAAGCTGCAGCGGTGCTTCGCTTAACAATGGCTTTACCTGGAGGTGCAGCTTGCAGTGAATGGGTGGAAGCTGCTGGAGTCATCCCTGCTGAGACCTGCTGCATTGCCCCGGGGCTGCTCTCCCCACAGGCTGGTTTCCCCAGTGCGAGGCTGCAGTACTGCGGGTCTGCTGGGCCCGGAGGCTGCTTCGCTCCTGTCAAAAGACACCTCTACCAGAGTGGGGCCTCATGGAGTTAACTCTGCTGGCTGCATTTTGGGGCGGAGGGGGGGAGTTTGGTCTTGTTACATCTCTGTGCCTGGATGTCACTGTCCATTACCTGGGTCGCATATCTACAGCTCAGACCATTGTGTAGGGTGAATGTGTCCGGAAGGCTTAATCCTCTCTTCTGACAGAGTTCAAATTGCTGCCTAATGGCAAAAGTCTGCTTCTGGACAAAAGAACACAGTGTAAACTCTTCACATGTCCTTTTAATGTCCAGAATTACTTGAACACAGGTGATCAGGTTCTGTGGATGTAAGTAAGACTTTTAAAGTTATTAAATGAACTTTATATGTAAGAAATGATGCTGTGAAAAGCCGGAGTTCAAAACTCGGTAGTCAGAAGGCTATTAAGTAGGTATTCTTTGTTACTGCGCCGGGCACACGGGGGATCTCTCCTCTAAACGTGTGTCCCAAAGAGACACAGTTACTAGGTATTTATGCTATGTTAACATACATATTAATTACATTTCCAAGAAATGCTTATCATAGTAATGTTTTTTCCGATAACTCATTAGTAGGTGTTAATGTCCTTCAGTCATTGGGGTTCTTGAGATACTCTTGCAGCCTCCTTATCTCTGTAGTTTGCATAGGTGTTCTCCCAAGGCCTAAAGGGATTTATTCAGGAGTCTCTTATCTTACAATCATCCCAACTATTCACAAAGAACCAAGACTTGTTTTGGTTGTGCAATGATTCTGACCACCTGAAGTGATAACATCCCCTGCATGTTACATTTGTTACATTCATAGGTATCAATACAGTGAAAAAGCCAGTGTAGCACTCCTCTTTATTTGGACAAACAACAGCAGGTAACTTAACTATCTCTTTTTTTCCTTTCTTCCAGAGATAATACATTGTTAAAATTAAAGAACATCATTATAATGCCTCACCTCGGCATTGAAACAGACAAGGCCATCTACACAATAACAGAGGAAGCAGCTGAAAACATACTATCAGCTCTTAAAGGTCTCCCCATACCCAGTGAAGTGCTCCCTAGATGATGTGCAAAAGGATATCTCAGCTCTCTTTTTATTTTCTTTCCCTCTGTCAGCTCTGAAGGTTTTTATTCTTCTGTTTTCCCCATTACGAGAAACCTATTCCAAGTGGGCACAGAAAGCTCTGGCTTGGTCTCACATGTCATTAAAAAACCAGCTTTTACATTTTATTTTCCTTGCAAGTTGGAGGAATACATTACTTCTCCCTTCCAACCATGGATAGATGCGTGCACTATCTGGGAAAAAACACTTCTGATTGCCAATGCACTGCTTGCTATGCTCTCTAGTCCTAAAGAAAATGTCATTTTAGATTACATAATTCCCTTTGTTGCCGTTCTGTTAGCTATAAAAAACAACAAAGCTACCTGGCTAGAAATATTACTGATTTTCTATATGTAAGTCTCCATTTAAACTAGTTCCTGAGACACAAATGGCAAAAGTTTTCAGAAATGTACTCAGAATCACTTATTTAAAGTCAACTGAATTTTAGAAGACAATTTCAGGTACTAGCACTAAGGAAAATTAGTCTTCAAGATGAACATGCTACTGTGTTTGTAATACCAAGTTTATGTGCAGTCTGCCTCCAGATTTTCAACTTTGTGCAAATATTTGGAAGAGCACTCGGAGCCCTCTAAGCCTCCAGCACAATTCCGTAAATTAGTGGGAACACAAAAGTCTGTAAAAACACACGCAGCATTAAAATCCAGATCTATACGTTTTCCTTTGTATCACTGCTTCTGGACATTCGCAAGAATAATTATATTTGAAACAAGGTATGACAGGGAGCTTCACCACCTTCAAGAGAAATACTTCAACAAATTGTTACTGCAATTATAGAAAAAAATGAAAATCCCATGGCTTTGCCTCACTAGAAATAGCACCTATATTACAATTAATCATTCAAATTGCACAGGAAAAGGATCTCTTTAAACAGAAGAATGCTCACCCAGCTCACTAAAGCTTTGCAGGAAACAGTTTGCTGTCCTCTCAGTTGTCTTCACGTACTCTCTGTTGTCTTAATACCACTCCAAAAGACAAGTAAACCAATACACAACTCAAAGTGGCAGTGCTATGCATTTTATTATGTCATATGACTTTACGAATAGCATGATTATTTAACCCATCAGTAAAATTTATAGCAAAGTTGCTGTTAAGTGCAGCCAGGATTTTGCCAGTAGTCTCATGCATCTTTACAGAGACATTTCCACTTCCTTTTTCTTGCAGAATGTTGTCACTGGTCCTTGTCAAAATACACTGCCTTCCACCAGTTTAATGTCTGAGGATGTTACCGACTCTTGCAGTTCAGACGTTGTAGCTTTTCAGGAGCAGCAAGTTGTCTGGCAGGAATTCCAAGGCTGTCCCAGATACCTCCCTGTTCTGTGAGGTACAGGCGCCCAGTATGCCTTTCATTGCCACCTGTATGACCTTGACAAAAATAAGTCTATTCTTTCAAAATAAAAGGCTAAGCAATAAATTACAGAGGTGAAAACAAAGCTACAAGAAGCTAAAACAGAAGAGGGGGGAAAAAACACTTTTATTAGATCAATATTGGGGAAAAAACCCCAAGGTTTTGTACATGTGTGCTTCCCTCCAGACATGAAGCAGCAAACATAAAGTCAGACACACTACTTCATTTCACTTCTACATGAAACAGCAGAGCATGTTGGCATTTTCTTGGAGTTTTACTTCTACTTTTGCAGATATCTCAAGAACCCGGGCTGATTAGTTAAGGAAGTGCTCCCTGCTAGTGGGGTGCTTCAGATAGGAAGACACAGCGCTGGACAACAGGAGACCTGTCAGTCATTGGAGCGACGGGTTGACTCCCACACAACTTCTGATGACTTGGCATTCCACAGACTGGAAATCATCGCTGGAAGGACAGCTTTCCAAAATGTCTTCAGGAAGAAACTACCTCTCTTTTCAAATTACAATGCAAGAAATGACCCTTTGTTTCCTGCCATTCCTCAGACTATAAATATTTATTGACTAGAGTTAAATTAAGTGACATATAGTTAAGGAAACCTTCCTGTGCTTAGTAGATCCTGTTTCCCATCTCTGCTATTCTACTTAAATTGTGCTTGGAAAACACAATTTGTGTCTGATTTCTCCTTCATTTTGTTTGTTCAAATTTGTTGATTTAATATACAAAGGGAAAAACTACCTTGTTGTCCTTCCAAAGTTTTTTTCACCTTCACTACTAAAACATGGTAGAGCTCCTTTCTCGATCATAGCGGGGATGACTTGTGCTTCACAAAGGTCCTTTGGTCTCAGGCACTGTCACCTGAGCAGTGAGTTAAAAGATCACCCATTATGTCTTATCAGCAAACTCCAAAGCAGTTGATGTAAAACAGGGAGCGTGTGAGCATTTTAGGGTTTGTTGCTTTTTTTGAAGGAGAAGAAAATGCAAGCAGACTTAGCTAAGAATCCAGTTAATATGCTGTAACTCCGTCTTGCTAGTTAATGAATTCTTGCTTTAAAGTTTAACTGTCTGAACTTGAAACCCACCTAAGCAAATGATGCTCAAAAATTGTCATGAGGATAACAACAATTTATGGTTTTGTGTAATTATTACAATATTTTAGTGGAGTTTATCCTTTCGTGAGTCATTTTACAGAGGATTTGGGGTTAAACTCGACTGCCTTCACGTTCAGCACACCAAAAGGTGTTTGGCAGAGTTCAGGAAGGCCCCAGTCCGTAACCCATCCCTTTACAGTCGGGAGGGAGGCCGCAGCACAGCTCACCGCTGGTTCCGTGCCACACACCCGCTTCAGCGCGGTCGCTCCAGCGCGGGTTCAGCAAGCAGAGCACTGAAGCTGCACTTTGGCAGCCTCCATCGCTGGGGGTCTGGGGTCTGGGTAACCTCCTCAGGAACATTTTCACGCCTTCCTCAGCTGGACGGGCCCAGGACGGGCTGGAGCCGGGGTGACAGCAGTGGTGACAGAGCCCCTGGGCGTGCCCCAGTCGCTGAGCTCTCCGAGAGAGGTTTGGGGTGTGTTCTTGGAATCACTTGGGTCGGGCGTGCGGGAGGCCTGTCGCTGCTGCCTGC